ACTCAACCACGTCAAAACAAATAAGTGGCACTCTCGCCATCCATAGAGTGTGAGACAAAGCAAAAAATAAGACAGATAGGAGTAGATGAAAAGATGCTAGTAGTGATGTTAGGTGATTGGGAAAGAGGGGATTTATCACTGAAAAAATAAGATCATAAAGATGGAGCATTAGAAGTTTGGAGTGCCGATCTATATGGAAAACAAAATCAAACTAAACATGTCCAGAGGTATATACTTTTTTAGTTTGAGGATCAAGGCACATGCAGCCTTCGATAGCAGGATGGTAGCCAGTGAAGATGCAGACTATGGGTCTTAGGTGAAGTTTATGGGCAGTATATGGTCTGAACTAGGGAAAGCATCGACATCCAAAGGTGCAAAGTAGTTGATAGTTAGGTCAGTAATGAAAAGTTCTTATGGAGTGATGTTGCGAAGGGTTGAGCTACGCATGCTATTTATGAGGCAAATGGATATGGATAAAGCATTGAGCCAAAATTTTGTGGGCAAACCAGATTAGAGTAGTATGATGGTGGTTTCAATAAGACGTTGATGCTTTCATTCGGCTATGCCTTTCAAGTGTGTGTGTAATATCTCTTATATACCATGAGCTGAAAGATAATTTGCCATCGGTTGATTAACAGTTTCACCTTCATTATCACTTCTTAAAACATCGGGAGTGGAATGGAGAAATTTAATGGATTTTGATTGAATTGATTTTCAACAAGGTTTATAATTCAATTAACTTTGGTAGCACCTTCGATTTATGCACCATGGGATAAAGCCAACTAAAACAAGTAAAATCATTGATAGGAAGTGACATAATAGTAATAATACTTAAAACCAGTAACAAAAAGGGGTAGGAGATAGTCCACATACATCAAAATTATCTATGACATTTTGATAGGCTAGAATGAACACATTGAGGTAAGAGCAGCAGAAGAGAATGGAAACGCTGCTTGTGATGTGACAAAATTTCAAAGGAGAGGGATGGCCCAGCTATTGATGCCATAGAGAGGCAGGAGCTTTGTTGCAGGAGTGTGCCACAGGATATTTGGACGGTAATGAACCTATTGAAGGAGAAAACGGATGTTGGCCTTGTTTTTGGAGCCTTGAAAGAGTATCCTCTTCGTGACCTTGTCCTGTATATTGAACAAATTAGGATCAAAGGTAATAATGCAGTGATTATCATGAGCAAATTTATGAACAGATGGAAGGTTCATAAATTTATGAACAAACTAGGATCATAGCATATGAAGGCCTTTACATGCTTTGATACCATTATTAAAATAGTAATTTTAAATTTCACTTCATTTCTCACATTGATTATACAGACTTGGTACAGGTATATATATAGAGAGTGGAATAGAGTGTCTTGTCTTCTCCAAGTGATTGTGTTCATGTTAATCAGTTATTTCCTTTAGGAATAACAAATCGCCTAGGACTCAACCAATCCTGGTTGGATGAGGGTGAACCTCCTTATAGAGTCCCATTTTATCCAATCTAAGAGTTAGTATTCAACCTGGACTCATGCCCCTTGTCGTTTATCTCAACCTTGATGTGGATTGTTCTCACATCTCGGCCAATCACATTTTGCTGCGTGACACCTCAGCTAAAGGTCCCTGTCACGTGAACAAGACGAAAATTATGTTCCATAATATATATATATATATATATAAGACAGAAGAGTTTTTGAAAATATGTCAATGTATCAGAGATAC